ATCAATGCCTTAGAAATGTGGTGCTGGAGACGACTGTTAAATATACCCAGGACAGACTCCATCCTCAAAGAGCTTCATATACAAAATAGGTTACTGTCGATTGTGTAGTTACGAATACTGAAGTATTCGGGCATTCGAATACTGAAGTATTCGGGTATTCTTTGCACACACCACATGGCACATCACACCACGAAATTTTGATGTCAACTGGCCACCAAGATCGTGCGATTAACGCAGTGCGATTTTTTCTTTGGAGTTTTGTGAAATCTCGGATATATGCAAATAAACCAGAAACAATTCCTGAGCTCAAATCAGAGATCCAGCCACATCTCTGTGTAAGTCATGAAAAAATTCATGAAAACAATAATGGCCTGTCATCAGTTCCGTGGGGGCAATTTGCCAGATATTTTATTCCATACTTAATCGGAACATGTCTTCTTTACAATCCAATAAAAATAACACAACTCTTTTATAAAATACGTGTTTTTATATTAAAATGAAAAAGTGCACTCTTACTTACTACTTAGTGGAACTTGATACTACACTTTTCGGCCTATCTTGTCAAGATTAGATCAAATAATAAAAATTAATGAGTCAATTGAATAATTCCTGATAAATGATACGATTGACTAATTTTATGGGTCTAGTGGTTAGTGACCCTGACTGCGATGCCCACTCAGGACAAATATTGTGTAATTAGCATCATTTTTACTGTATGGGTGTATTTTATTGTTTAAATTACTGATTAGTGAAGACTTCAGTGCGGTCCAATCGCAATCGAACACGGTCACCATGACGATCGAGTCGATGTAAAATAACCATACACGTGGCCCTCAATTCTGCTATTTTAATATTGTATTAAAATTGTCGATGGAATGTCGTCGGAATGGTTTTGCACTTTTCTTATTCTACTAACTATGTAAGACCAATGGCCTCCCGATGACTTGTCACTGATACGAATGTCGGTAAACCGTACATTTTAAATAGGAAAGAAAATGATTGATTGATTGATTCATTCCAGATATAGCAATTTTGATTTTGCCAATTATGAAGACCTATATTACTACATCGACAGTCTATTGACACTGTGAATTTACGTTAGTAGAATACCGATATTGTGACCGATGTCAATGGCATCTCAATAGCGTGTCAATGTAAAGACAGTGGCTTGGCGATAGCAGAATTGAGGCCCAGACCCTCAGACTGCCATGTGTAAGATGTGTGATGTTATTATTATTACATACTGTGCTATTAACGCTAACAACTCTGATTTAACCTTTTAGTCTCGTTTCCGTACAACAAGTGGAAGACAAGCGCTCGTTATAAGTAAGGTCTTGTTTAAGAAAATTAAAGTGGATGAAACTGCTATAATAGTCCATGGTTATTGTATTCCGTAATTCGAACTACAACCGCGAGAACTAGACTAGATGATATAATTTTGTAAATACGCTACAATTTTTAAATCACCGCCTTAAATGCAACCACATCATTATTTAATTCTAATAAACATTATTTATTCATTTTCTTTACTCAATTGGACCAGCATATATTTCCAGTTTCGAGGGGGATAAATATATAAAAAATGGAACTAAGAACCTTTTGTAAAGGAAAGGTGTATGTATTTTAAGATATATATTATATGTACATTTGCTAAGAAGGGAAGTGGATTCATCATATTTTCAAGTCCTCCTATTTTCTTCTGTTTAATTTCGTTATGGGTTCCCAGACAGTTTAATTTTTCCCGGGACTTCTCTGGGGTTAATGTTGAGGGTTCGATCCCCACATAAGATAACACTGTGTGATTCACAAATTGTTGAAACGGACACACAGAACACCCAGACTATATCCCGAGTGCGGGAGTTCTTAAAAAATCTTTTCGCATAACTAACCATGAATGTCAGTTCAGTGTAAACACTCACGATTGATTCAATTGCAGGAATAACGTAACTAAATAACGTTTCAGCTTCAGTAGGAGCCTAAGTTAGGTATGAAAGGTCTCAAGTACAATTATGCAGTAAAAATTAGCAAGATGGCACATACAGGCCCTTACATTTTTTACGGTATAGGCACAAACGAGCAGCGGTTATCTCATGGTATGTGAGTACCAACGTCCAATTGGACAGCTGCAACTTACGAGACTCAAATGAGTTACCTCCCTTTGAATGCCTCCTTCAGAAGTACTAGAAAGAGGACTGTCTTTTAACCTCACTTACTATGTGATAAACTTGCTGTACACCGTGAAGCCGTGATATCACTAAATTACCGAAGGACGGCCTCCCATCGCTTTTAAACTAAAGCTACGTTTTCATGCACACGTCAATCGATTATGATAACTAAGATAAAAGTTTTAAAAGTCACTATCGGATTTTAATATGGTAATAATTGCGGCCGATCTGTTGTATCTGAATGACGTACGTTATGATAAAATGATTACAATCTGTGGCTATAAAAGAAGAAACTGAAAGACTGATTCACTGACTGATTCACTGACTGATCGATAAATGTACAGCTGAAACCGCAGGGTCTAGAAGCATGAAATTTCGCACTAATGTTCCTTAAGGTGACGTAGACCTGTGCACTAAGAAAGGATTTTTTTAAATACCCCCCCTAAATATCGTTATTTTTGGTAGTAGCGTTTTCAAACTCGCAGTAAAGACTCTTTATATATATATATACTTATAATACACTAGCAGAGACCCGCGGTGTTACCCGCGTTTGTTGTTATAACCGCGGGCAACGCCGCGGGGCGAAGCTAGTCTAAAAAAAGTAGCCTAAGTTACTCCTTATGTCATCAGCTATCTGCCAGTGAAAGTCCCGTCAAAATCGGTCCAGCCGTTCCAGAGATTACCCGGAACAAACAGACAGACAGACAGACAAAAATTGTAAAAAATGTTATTTTGGCATATGTACCGTGTAAACATACATACGCATTTAGTAAAAAGCGGTTATTTTAATATTACAAACAGACACTCCAATTTTATTTATTTGTACAGATATCACTACTACATGTCCTTATAATCTTGATTCATTGTATCCTCTACGATGTCTGATGTCGACTACTACGTGGACGAAGTCGCGTGCAAAAGCTTGTTCTGTCATATATTTATGTCTCTATATATACTAGGCGATCCTTGCCGTTTTACCTCGAATGTTTGTATATACGAAGACGTATACAATATCTTTATTGTATACAAACATTCGAGGCGACCAATAGGAGTGGAGTGAAAAACGTTGCAAAAAAGTGGTAATTCATACCTTTCGAGAGACAGAAGTTGAGCGAGTTGGATAGTCTATAAGCGTTGCAGAATATCAATAAGCTTAAATGTATAAAAGCAATTGAAGTTTAGAACAAATAAATTACTTTTTTATCACTTAATAAAAAAGAAATTACGACAATTTCTTTACATTAGCTACACTATATTACATTATTAACATACTTAGGAATGTCAGATTTTTGAGTAAAAATGTTCTATTAAAATAATATGAGCAAAAGCACATTGTTTTATTGACACTTTGTGTAGACATTTATGTTAATTTAAACCTCTAATGTGGCAGACTGTAATATTCAATAATGTCTGAGTGCCTTGCCTTTGAATTTAAAAATGATGATTTTTACACGCTTTATATTAACTTCACTTATGACGTATAGCTTCACGTATGTTTGTTTGTATGTTTGTATGATTATAACCGACTCCTTTGGGCGTGATTTTGACTGGCTTTAAACGGTCAGAATTCGTTCAAACTTTGTAGATATATCGAGGACCGATGACAATACACTAATTTAAAGTAAATAAAAATTTGTTACTTTAGTTTGTAATTTAGTTACGTTTAGCTTAAATTTAATTAATGTAACTACAATATCGCCTTGGAAAAATACTGTAAAGATATTGTAAAAAAAAAACAAAAAAAATATAGTTTAAAAAAACTAAAAAACACGCTTTCTATAGAAAACCAGTTTTTAAAAACTGTAATTTTTCTACACTATTAGCTTCTGTGAACATGTAATGCTAATGGTTTTAGGTTAAAGCATAAAAAACCTGAGTATAAAAAACTAAAAAGTTTTTATAACATAGTTAGTTTTGTGGAAAAAGATTTATAGACACAACTATCAACTATTTCAAGAAGCTTAAAATTATTTGATCCACGAGGATAATAATCCAATTATCCTAGAGGAAAAAGATTGTTATTTATGTAAGCTATAATAATAATAACTTCACACATCTCACACACGGCCGTCTGATCCCAAACTAGGCAGAGCCTGTGCTGTGGTAACCAGACTGCTGATAAACATACTTATATATTTCTAAATACATACATATTATGGATAAATTACATCCAGACACAGAACAAATGATCATGCTCATCACACAAATATTTGTCGTGGGTGGGAATCAAACCACTACCTCCAGCTTAGCAGTCAGGGTCACTAACCAATAGACCAACAGGCCCGTTAGTCCTGTTGGTCCTGTGGTTAGCATCAGTATACCGTAGTATACCCGTCAGTATACAGTAGCTCGTCAAGCTATACCTATATATTCTGTAATACAGCTGAAGAGCATATTAAAGATGGTTCTACAATATTCAACAACACTATGACGTTGACCAGTGACCATATAACTACTATACATATAATAATACTATATTTGCATTTAATTCTGTTTCCATTTAAAAAAATACGACAAGAACTACACTATCAATAACATGGATGATTACTTCCTATTATAATCTAACTACAAGAGATAATGTAAAAGTCAGCATAACCAAGAATAATCCAAGTCTCTTTAGCCTTAGTTCAGGAAGTAGGATCCAAGGAAGTGGGAAGGAGTTACACCACATACCATTCTCTACAAAAAAACACAAATCTATTTTAAAAAAATTAAAAAAAAGTACAATAGTCATAATATCTTTGAATAGCAAAAAAGTCTCAATAGCACTTTAAATTAAGTACAAAAGTGAAGTTAAACTTATTTTACACAAAAAATTAAGTCAAATACACTTACATGAATGCTCTCTCCTAGTAAGGCAGCCTGATGCATCAGCTTCTTGGGTATACAGCCTACATTGACACATGTGCCACCAAGCCCCCACTTGGTACCTTGCGGTGATGGCTGCACAAAGTCAAGTACAGTGACACGCGCACCAAGATTTACAGCTTCCTTCGCACAGGCGAGCCCACCGGACCCACCACCAATGACCGCCAGGTCATAGTCGAAATTTCCATCTATAATATGAACCACCAGCCCGTCAGAATGTGTTATATATACATATCTATATGTACTGTGTGTTGGAATGGAAAGCATTTATTATAAGTTTCTTTAGTAGCAGTTAGTTGCAGATTTATGTTATTTATTTACTAAGTTTGATGAGTGATGAGAATAACATTTCTTATTATGAACCCTTTTGTGTAGTCAATAATATACTTGTTCATGATCAGCCTATACGTATGCATATAATTTGAATATCGAGTTTTAAAAACAACTTTTGTGTAGTCAATAATATACTTGTACATGATCAGCCTATACGTATGCATATAATTTCAATATCAAGTTTTAAAAGCAATGTTTTATACTTGAAAATATTAAATAAGACTATAATATTCAATTGATGAACCACCAAAAAAATTTATATCCAAATGGCATCTTGGATTACAGCCTTTCCGAGCTACTGCAGTCTCAATCCCAATTCCCAATCCAAAATTAGCAGAATCCAATCCCCCAATCCTCCTATCCATTTTATAACCCCAATCCTTCTATCCATTTTATAAACCCAATTTATCTTCCTCCTTTATCCTACTTAAAAATGTTGACATTCCAAAGGGCTGGTGTCAGATAGCCAGCTGGTCATAAAAGACAGCCATTCAGTCATAAAAGACAGCCAATCAGTCATAAAAGACAGCCAATCAGTCATAAAAGACAGCCATCAGTCATAATAGATTACCAGCCAGTCATACAGAACACCAGCCAAACCCCTTTGTCATGTTTAACATAGTGCTGGTCCATAAAAAAATTAAAAGAGGGTAGGCAAATGATGATGATTATAAATTTAGCAATATGAGTGGAGACTGCTATTAAATTAACCAAAAAAAATTTACTTGGCATCAGAAAAAGCGATTATTATGAACAGAGCAGTGCAGGCCTAATACTTTTCCTAGCACAATAACCCATCCTCACATATTGAGGAGTTCAATGATCATGTGGTTGATAATGATGACCTCTAGTGTTGATATATAAATTAATTCAATGTATAATGCATATAAAAGAAAAAAACTGCTGAATCAAATTATAAGCAAAATCAGAGATAAGCTCACAGTTGCATGTCATCATGAGGCTATTATACCATAGACACATTATCACCCGAGATGATGATAAAACAATGTTTTGCACTTTCATACTAGTGGTGCTCAAAGTCATGATAAATTAATACTATTTTTTTTTAAATCAAATTTTCCTATTTTCATAAACAGATAACAATATTTAGAAACTCATATATGTTCCGAGATAAGTCAATTTTATTTTGAAAAAATGACATAATAGCAGTATGAATACACTCATAAAAGTTAAAGAATCTTCAATAACATTTTTACAAGTCACCTACTTACACAAATTCTCAGTAAACAGTTGATATGAGTGTTTAAATACATTAAAACTAAACTCATAAAGTGTAATTAAATATTTTAGTTTATTTTACTGTCTAGGAAAATTCAAGAATACAAAATTGATATATGTATTTCGATGATAATGGAAAATGTATAATTTGTTATTCTGCAACTAAGTGCTCTAGATTGTTTCATTGTTATATTTTGAGGCACATTTCCATTTCCAAGCAACAGTCACATTTACGGTGCAAACATATGTACTAATGTTTTTATAACCCATAAGCACCATAAGCAACCTAGTTTAAAAAATGATAGTGGTATTCTTATTTCTCCCTTGAAATAAGATGCAGTGTGCATAATAATATAGTATGTACTTTAAGGTACTGTCATACCTTCCTCGGTATTGTCAATAGGAGTGACCAACTGGGCCTTACGGTTACAACACAGCCAGTCTCCTGATGCCATCAAAAAATATATGCATGAAAATAAACTATTTCATAGCACTAATTTATTATTAAACAAAAAATTAAGAGAACAGCTGCAATAGTAGGCTCTAAGCACATTGCTATCAATATCCTGTGCTTTTAAAAAAAAAATGATTTGTCATTCCACCATCCCTAGGACAGGTTGAATAATCCTTTGCATTAGGCACTATAAACTCACAAGAATTAAGAGCTAAGTTGATGTAGGTTTATCTTATATTTATGCCAGAGATTTTGGATAATAAACTAGATTCTAGTTAGAAAAAAAATTGGTTGCTTGAGTTTTTCTATTGTCATTGAGGTTAGACTATTATCTGCATTTCAAGGTTAATACGCCGTCAAATTATGGATTACTTACTTTTGCTGAGAGTTCTACGGGCCAATATAACAACTCTTTCAGTAGATATTAACGGTTTTATAAAATTATTTATCCTTACAAAATTACTTAAGATTGTCATTTTGACGTTAAATGTGACAGACTGAGAAATATTAGCACCAAATCAAGTAAAAGAAGGGTTGTACAAGATAAGTTTATTCAAACGTCAGAAGGTAACCAAAATTCAGTGCAAAAATGAAGTCCTTGCTCATCACCGGGGCGAACAGGGGCCTAGGCCTTGGGATGGTGAAATATATACTTAAACAGAATACCTCGAACAAAATAATTGCAACGTGCCGAAACGTTTCAGAGGTATGTTATCCATTTCTGACTTACCTATAGGCGCCATCACGTCACAATTCCTTCAATTTATCACAAATTATACAATTAGCACTCCGAGAACTCGTTATTCCCACAGAGGACTCAAATACGCGCTGTTTCACGAACAAAAACTCTTCGTTAAGAGGCGTAAAATGCTTTTTGTAGCAAACTACTACAAGTGTGCGAAAGAGATAGCGTATAACTCTCGTCTGACAGATAAATGACGTCACCTCGGAGTTTTATAGGTTTCTAATGATGACGTATAACTTTTAATAATGATGTCACTCAAGATGACGCTTAAATAAAATTGATAAATAAAATTTGAGACTTACCTTGTCAGTTGACAAAATAATCATAATCATTTTGCATATATATTCATAAACTGTACAATAAACAGCTACACGGTTTACATTATGTATGGTAACAACTAAGTTTTCTTTTGAAGTTTATAACACAAATGATTATTAAAAAACTATTTAATAATATTTTAATACCCTTTTATTTGTTGCTATATTAATAAAGTGAATCAAAACTTTAAACTCAGTCAACAGGGATCTCTCATATCTTGACGGCTGTAGTCACGGTATGTCTCCTGGTGATGGTTAGTTTGAGGAATCTCTGAGCGAATTGCTAAATTCTATCTCTTAATTTATTTTGTAATATGGGTATAAACAGAAATGTATTTTAATGGTAAATAGAACTAAGATGTACTAACGAAGATACCTATCCTTTAGTCATATATAAAACAAAATATTTTTTTTAAAAAAGGCTGACATCGACAATATTTAGTTTTTATAACCACCGGTCAGTAAATAACAATAAGTTGTTTACTTTTTTTAATAGTTTTTTTATTATTTAACAAGAAAAACAAAACCGAAGTTTTAAAAGACGTCTTGTTTGTATTATAAAGAACACTGCAGGTAACGATATGAAGCGTAAGACATACAGAGACATTGTAAAGTATTTCAAAGCATTTTTACATGTATTCATACCGCTACAAAAACGCAAGTGTCTTTATTTTAATGCACATGATTATTTTGAAAGAAATTTGTAACATAATCCATATCTAATAATAGATATAGAGAGAATTAATGTTGATCAATATTCTCTGAATTGCACTGACTAAATGTAGAAAATACAAACACCCATTCGGATATCCGTAACTGCTCCAGCATACCCTTGACTGCTTGATTCTACACTAGATTACTCTACCATACTAATGACTGCCCGAGTCTACACGTAATTGCTCGAGCAAAGCCGTGACTACCCGAGTATACACGCGATTGCTAGAGCATGCCCGAGTCACGGTACACTTATAATACAGTAGCGTAACTCGGGCGCATGATAGAAATAAATGCCTACAGCCGCGCGGTACGTAAACATGCGTTAGGGCTGTCCGTCTCCAGCATTTTAATTATATTTGCCTATTAATAATAAAATACCACGTCTTTACTTTGAATTATGCAAAGTAACAAAACACACATGCACCGAAGTTTTAACACAAGCGTAAGTAGGTAGGTACCTACCGCATCATGATTCATTCAGAACCGCATATAACTACCTATTTCACTCGTCTCAATAACTTTCCGTTACTCTATTTGCTTTATTTGTTAATCCAAACACCTTTTTTTTCGTGAGAAAAAAGGAAATACTAATCTATTAAAAAGACACACATTATGTACCTACCTACTAGTAAGTAAAATTATTTTATAGTCTTACCTTTCAGAGTTTCCAGGTAATTTAAAAAAACTTATGTCTGGATGCGTTATTGAATAATTCATACAACCAAAAACAGCACAATATTTCCTACTCGTCATATTAACTGATTTTTAGAAAAAAAATCGCACGGTTATTGTTAAAAAAACAACACACCGTCCGTTCGACACTGCGGGACAGCCGTGACTGTCTGCGCCCCGAGCGCACCCCGAGATCGGGGCGCGTAGGTATAGCTCGCGTTTCGTCCGTTTGTATGAAGTTGGAGTACTGTATTATAATTGTACCGTGCCCGAGTGCATGCATGCATGCATACTCGAGTATGCGCGAGGCTATTTAAGCATTTAGGTACATGCTCCTGTTCAACGCGCGTCTTATACGCTAGGTAAAGCGGCACAAAATAAGCTTAATGTTGCAAAATATAAGTTTATATTAGAAATATAAAATTAAATATGTAGCCATAAAAATAGCTTCATAATAAAAATCTTTGGAACAACGCTTTGTTATTGCTTCTAAACAAAAACTTATAAGAAATTTAAATAATCTATCATTAATATTTATAGGAACTCAAGACACTGGCTGTAGAAAACAAAAACTTATTTATTGTTAATTTGGGTAAGTATTTATTTCCTCCTGTTTAAGTATATTTTGGTAATTATTAAGAAGACATACATTTTGGTTATTATCAAGAACACAGTGTCTGTGAAATTAAACCACTAATGTTTACGTGTCTACTTGCCTTTATAATAGGATTATCTTGATTTTGTTAGATTTTGGTTTTTTTTTTAATATAAATAAAATTTATGTAGGTACACTTTTTCTATACTGTATGAGATTGAATTTGTAACAGCCATCAAACCGTGTATTTTTTAACGTTATTAATATTATGCAATAATTTAAAAAGGCAATTAAATTCAGACAAATCCATTTGAGAAACTTATTTGGCAATTAAATCTGACCGTATCATTCACGCGGGAAAAGATCGAACTCTGGCTTATTCAGTTTATTTTGCTTTTTTCTCGGCCTCTACTATTATGTACGCCATATCCGGTCGTCCTTATGGGATACAGAGTATAAAGACACATATGTTTTAATCACAGAGTAAGCCTACATTTAATTTTATTTTAATCTGTTTCAGATCTTACAAATATGTCTTCAATCGGCGAAATATCTCCGCAAATAACCAAAATAGTTGGCGACCAAGGGTTAAATGTTTTAATAAATAATGCTGGTATCAGCACAAAGTTTACGAAACTCGCCTTAGTGAAAGCTGAACAGCTTTTGGATAATCTAACTATTAATACGGTTGCACCGATTATACTAACTAAGGTTCGTAAGAAAAAGAGAGGATATGATAATGCTTAATTCGTACCTGTTTTAAAAAAAACTATATAAAATGAGCGTTCTTTATTTCCAGACTTTACTACCTACTCTCAAACAGGCCTCGGATATTAATAAAGAGAAACCTATGGGAGTTCAGCGTGCCGCTGTAATTAATATGAGCTCGATTCTCGGTTCTATTGAACAGAATGACAAAGGAGGATTCTACCCTTACCGATGTTCAAAGGTATTGTCTTTCGATCAATACATAAAAGATACTAGTAATTTTGCACATAACTTTTAATTTTTTTATTTAAGGCGGCGCTGAACGCGGCAACAAAGTCTATGAGTATCGATTTGAAGAAAGAAAATATATTGGTAGTTTCGATGCATCCTGGATGGGTAAAAACGGATATGGGCGGTAAAAATGCACCACTAGATGTCGATACGAGCATTTCTGGAATATTTAATACTATTACCAAGCTTGGAGAAAGTGATACAGGCAAATTCTTGCAATACGATGGCACTGAACTGCCGTGGTAAATAAAACTAGCGTATAATACGCGCTTGTTTATTTTTTGTACTTCATTCAATAAAGCTTATAATTTGCTTTCTTTGTTTTATTTGAATTTTTTATACTGGCGATTGGGCGTAAATGTCACTTTTGCGGTCAACTGTCCGGAATTTTCTGCCTGTTCTTCAAAAGATATGGCACACAAAGTCTACACATACTTTAATAATCATATTTAATATATCATTTATTAATAAAAATAGCTTAACAGATGTAGTAGATCAAAGTATATCAGAGTAAATCATTACTGTTAAAGTTCAAAATTTTATTTAGTTCCATAATTGTTTCTTAAACAACATTTAAAAATAAAATGAAAAAGAGTATGTTGTCTTTAAAAAGATTTTTATAAACTAATTTACTGTTTATATATTTTTTTTAAATTTATAAATTGCCCTCATCAATAAAAATCAACCTGGTATTAAAATGTTCTTTTGAATTAGTTATCGTGGTATTTACTAATATGCCTTTTGCCGCAACATACATTTTACATGTAGCTTGCTGATTTTAGGTACCAGACTTAAAAAAAACAATACCCTTAAAATTACAAAAATAAGTTGGGTTTGATTTAGAAACCAATGTATTTTTTAAAAATTTTAATACATACTTATATATTGCGCCAGGAAACACTCATATCACGATAGTTAAATTCAAAGAATATTTTTAATAGTAGTTTGTTTTACTGAACAATGAGTACTTGCTTTATATTTTTAGCAGGCGCAGGCGTTCCATTTTTCTTTCAACGTATGTTAATAACGTTATAACTACTATATAAAATAACTATATTAACGTTATGATAAGTTTGTACTCTAAGAGCAACACGGTACCGCCTGTATTGCTCTGTGTCTGTAGGTACTAATCCTAAATTAACTTACCCTCCCACCTACAGCGTTCCTCATTTCCATCATGTATTATACGCGAGTGCGGTTCAATTATTCCTTTAGAGGAAGCTGCAAAAAATTATTACATTATTAATTATCTTATTTATTACATTATAACACGTGCAGCAGTAGGAGGATGTTTATGTACGTTAGTAATACATTTTAAAAGATCTTGAACTCTTTATTTCATTGACAATGGGACATGCCTGTTAGAAATAATTATGTTGTTATAAACACTAAGTTAGTTACAGTAATTTTTGTCGGACAGCCACAACGGCTGTCTTGACCGGAGTGATACCACGGCCTCATAAATAATAGCATCATTAAAAAACCCCCGACACAAAACAAAACTTTAAAAAACAACAACTGCTCATTGAAACTGTTCTAATAAGCCTAAACATGGTATATACCTATGCTGTAATTTTCTGATGAGTTGGCTATCTCGCAGACTACTTGATGCAGCAGCAAGTTCTAGGTTACTTTGTCGTGGAAATACAATCAAAGTAACAGTATACCAAATTTCAGATCAATCGGACCTGTGTATTTTAGTAAGATCCCTTCATCACCTAGGAAGTGAGCTGATGATCTTCAAAATTTATAGCCAAGAACCAAGAACGATCACATCGGCTTTCGAACAAAAAACCCAATCTAAATTGGTCCATCCATTCGGGAGCTATGATGCCACAGACAGATACGCAGATACACAGGTTAAACTTAGAACACTACTCATTAATTTATTATTGGATTTTATATTGGGGATTAAAAACCAGTGTTAAACAATTCTGTCGTTGGTTTTCACCTATTGAGTGAGGTTACTGAGGTCTCAAACCCCCTTTCTGTGGGGAGGCACTCGAAGGGCATGAACGCACTTCTCACTGTTGAGTTGCAGGTGTCCATGGACGGTGGAAGTCACTTACCATCAGGTTAAAATAAAATAAATAAAAAAACAAATGATCTTTGTGTTTTTGTTCTAGAGATGTCTTATTTCACAACATTTATTGGGTATGACGTTTTCAAAACATATATTAACTACTATGAGTCACTGCTAAGTAATCCTAGAATTACAGTATAAAAATTATAAATACGTAGTAGCCTACTATACTAGCGTGCAATAAATAAAGAGAACATCTACTAGATAATGATTGAAATGGTTTAAAAAAGAACGAATGGAGGTTTTCAGCGCCATACATATTATAGATGATATCTAGTAGTTTATTTCTATCCCATTTTTTGAGTGGGACTAGCATTGACACCTAAGGATCGGACGTCTCTCTTTAAGTTTTCGTCAACACTGTTTATAGTATTTAATTGTAGTTTAATTATAATATTAGTGTTAATAAAGAGACTAAACAATCGTATAAATTTAACCTCCTTTAAGTTATTGATTTAAATGCAGATAAACTTTATTTTTTAATTTCTTTTTTTTTTAACTCTGCATCGTCCTAAGGTCGACTGGTAGAAAATGCCTACGGCATTAAGTCCGCCTGTGTCACATTTGTGCATAAAGTATAAATAAATAAATAAACATGTATCATCGTCACCAGCCTATCGCAGTCCACTGCTGGACATAGGCCTCTCCTATTGCACGCCACAGAGATAGATTTTGAGCTTCCTATAATCCACATTCAATTAACTACAAGTTCTAAAGAAATTATCGTCTAATCTCTTTTCGTTCACCAGATTCACGATTTTAAGAAAAAAAGGCCGACTTTACCCATAGTTGTACGTAGGTACGGCTCGACGATAGTTAGGCCCCCGTATTTTAAACCTTTTATATCTTCTAAAATATTCATTTTAATGATATGCTGTAAAGAGCAATTTTAATGTACATTAAATGCACAACGTATTTAATAGGATAAGGAATAATAATACATCTTTAAAATAGCTTCGTAAATAACACATTATTTTTTTGTAATATTTAAAAGATAAAAATGGTTAAAGTGGGTTCTCCTTATGAGATAGACATATATCATCGCAGACTTTTTATAGATCTTTTTAAGATATACAATTTCGTATTATTATGGTCTATCTCGTAAGGTTTAACCAGCGTTTGCAATGTTAGCGCACAAAAACATGTATTTTACGACAAATCTTTGGCATTCTCGGATTTTCTTTACTATAATATGCATGTAACTATTATACATATAAAACTTCCTCTTGAATCACTCTCTCTATTGATGAAAACCGCATTAAAATCCGTTGCTTAGTTTAAAATATCTAAGCGTACAACACAAAAAACGACTTTTTTTAAATGTAAAGATTGATTGCAAATAAAAGGGGGCCCAAGAACTTATTCTTGCGAAGTACCTACTTATGTAACTTTCTCTACCTCTGGTGTTGTGAATACAAGGGAGAAAATGTAGAATTAAAGTAAGTATTTTTACTCTTGATGTGTTGAATGATTTTTTATTATTTGTTCAAAAAAATAATTATTAAATAGGTACATAAGTTCCTTGCCAGGCTTATGTAAATTATAGATTTAAACCCTATCCCAAAGTGCCCTTTAATACTAGTTAGGTACCTTTTTTTTTTTTTTTTTTTTTTCCGTGCGTAAATCCCCTCGGATACCACCTGTCGGTGGCATGTCGGACACGAACCGACTAAAACCGCACGCCTTCGCCGGGTACTAATAGCCGGGGAACCAGGTATACCCTAGAAAGGAAGGTCCTGGTGCCCCGACATACCTCGGGTCATCTACAGACGAGTAGACGACCCCCGCCCCGTGTGGGAACCCCATGTTCCCTGTGCTCCCTGGAAGTGAGCGCGCTTCGCAACGCGCTCGCCGCCACCCCGGCCTGCTTCTGCTAGGGTGACAGATGGCCTCACCTGTCACCCCCAGGCCTGCGCTCATGGAGGACGGAGGTCGTTCTGCGACCTCCGGCGCCTGAGTCGCCTGCGCTGCCTGGCCCGTGCCCGGGCCTGGCGGGCCGGGAGAGTTCTAAACCTCTCCCGGTCCCGCTCCGCCGTCTCCTTCGCGAGCATAACTTGCTCGCAGAAGGAGACGGCAGAGTTCCACGCACTCTCGCTCCGCACGATAGCCGCAATCAGGCTATCGAGCGAGAGAACTCCCACTCCGATGGCCGCCACGAGGTCTCGCCTCTGCTCAACCCACGCCGGGCACTCTGCCAGCGTGTGGAGAGCCGTGTCCACGGTCTGGCCATCGCAGTGGTGGCACTCAGGCGTTGGCTCCTTGCGGATCAGACACAGGTGATCTCCGAAACATCCCTTCCCAGTGATCACCTGCGTCAATCGGTATGAGAGGGTCCCGTGACGCCTCTCGAGCCAATCCTCCATAACGGGTCTTACCGCCGCAATGACGGCGTGCCCGGCGCTCGGTTGCCCGAGTCGTTCCCTCCACTCCCCTATGATGACCTGGCGGAGTTAAGATTTCCGGTCATCGATTTCTCGAGTCTCGGGGCATAGACCCAACTCCTGCGCCTCCTTGCGCCACTGATACAGAGTCGCAAGGGCTCTCGCCTCCAGGTCCCACGGTGGAGTTCCGGCCAGGAGACTCGCCGCCTCAAAGGAGATCGTGCGGTACCCCCTTATGATCCTGATGGCCAGCATTCGCTGCGGTCGTCGCAGTATCGCGACGTTGCTGGCCTTCAGGGCCCCCGCCCATACCGGGCACCCGTAAAGGGCCATGGACCGCACAACCCCCGAGTAGAGTCTCCTGCAGGAGTCATCGGGTCCCTTCATGTTGGGCAGCAGCCGCGCCAACGCACGCGCTGCCCCAACCAACTTGGGGACCAGACCTCGGAAATGATATCCGAAGTCCCATCGGCCATCGAGTACGAGCCCCAGATACCTGATCGAGGGCTCGATGCCGATGCGAGTGCCTCCTACCGTGAGGCTAGATCCCTCAGGCGGCTTCCTTCGAAGCCCGTGGAAGAACAGGGCCTCGGACTTGTGCAGAGCCACCTCGAGACCCAGCCGCCGGATACGCTCAACGACTTGGGCAACCCCGGCCGTGGCCCTCAGGGTTGCCTCGTGGTGCGTCTTGCCGCGCGCCGTCACGAGTGTGTCGCTACCAGTTTTATTGGTATTTGTTTTTAACACCCCGACGCAAAAATGACGGGGTCTTATAAGTTTGA